CCCAGCGTTAAATCAGCGCTCGAAACGTCTCCCTGGGCTTTACACGGAGAGAAAAATACGTGACAATCTCGTGCGAGTTCCTTCAAAAATTAGTGTGCTATCCAAGTCGTTGGACCAAACAGAGGTCACCAAAAAATTCGAATAGTCCACCGAAAAATTGGACTGTGGCACTCTAATTTTTGAAGATCTTACGCTACTTTTCCGTGAGATTCCCTTAAAAATTTGGGTGCCACATTCGAATTTTTTGGTCACCACGGCTTCGTCCCATGGATTAATGAATAACACACTCATTTTTGCTAGTTTTCTCTTCGTGTAGTTGTGTGGCTACTGCTTAATCTTCGGTTCTTCCCTAGTTACTCTGTCTCAGTACACCTAACCTCAATAATAATTCGACAGGCCCGATGGCATCGCTATTTGATCGAACTATTAATCGAATAATTGTGAAGATATCGTGCATTTTTACAATTTCCCCATCTCATATTCTTCGCTCTGTTAGAAAAGAATTGAAATTTGAATCCTTACACCATAAGTTGATGTTTGTTTCAGATGAGTTTAAAAAAAATATATATTTTTAAAATTACAGTGTGGCTGTAGTGGTCACGCGGGGAGTGTGTGGCTCCGGCGGTCATCCAAGCTAAGCAGCGGTCAGTCTGCCCAGTACTTGGATGGGTGTCCGCTTAGGCACACCTAACCGCGTGAGACTACAGCTGCGCTAGGCACGAATGTAGAGAACCACTGTGCCCATTGAGTCAGTGTGACCAATGGACACGGTGGAATCCCTGCATTATCGGCCGGCTGCACGACTGAGGTTTTCCATGGTTTCCCTGGCAGTCCAATCCCGAATGGGTGCAGTTGGGAGTAAAGTAAGTCGACCAATGGTAACACAGATAGCGAAGGGAACAAAATGTAAAAACCCGCGAGGGTATACATATGGAACCAAAAATTTAAAAAATATATATTTTCAAAATTTTTAATTCAAATTTTCACTATGAGTAATGAGTTTTAAGGATAATCGGGCGAACCCAGAGGGTTGAAAAAAAGCAGCCATTTTTTTCTTTTTTTTACGTATTCTTTAAATGATGGAAAAGGCGTGTGCAAAGTTTCAGACTGCTGGGGAGCATGGTTAATTTACTATGAATTTTTGAAAAAATGGTCATTTAAGCCGTGATCTTATGGAAATCACCAAAAAAACTGCAAAACCCAAGGAAAAAATGCAGCCAAAGTCATGAAACTTTAGACACATTTAGAACATGTGATGTGCTGAATCTCCTGAATAATTTCTCCTCCACAATATTTCTTTCTGCAATCTCGTTTCAAAACTGACTGAGTGTCAGCAACCCTCGGAGATTCCTTCGGCTTAATGTTCGATGGTCCAGGGTAAATAGGAAACCCCGCGAAATTTTGAGATCCACACAGAAAAATTTCAGAAATACTGACTTGTTACTTCAAAATAATAAAAATTCAAAACCAAAATTCAAGAATGAAAGAACACAAACTTTTATTCATAATATCAATTTTCGGACTAAAAATTATTAGTCATTTCTTTTACAACCGAATACAAAAATGAAACTTTTCTCTTTCTATTTTCTCCTTTTTTTTCCATGTCAAATCAATAATTCCTTTTATCCAAAATAATTGGCAACTGAATTTGTTAGTTTCGTCAGGATGGAAATTACGTTATTCGAGATAACAATTAATCGTTCGATCAATTAATTCACCGGATTTGCGTCGAGACACACTAAAACGTTTATTAGAGTGTTTCCAAAAGGTTTCTTATAATATTCTAACCGTTTCGTGAGTAGAATCTCATCTGTTTCTTATTTCTTTCAGAAATACCATCCTTCAGATCACCGACAAATTATTTAATTCTTTTGCTGACCATATTTTAATTCTTAATCAATTTTAAATTTCTGTGACTCATTAAAACGAGAGAGACGGATCGGACACGATAATAACGGTGTGGCGAAAAGAGAATATCCGACGCCGCGTTATTAAACCGAAATTTCCCCTTCCAACGTGACTCTATAGGAGAATTTTCTCCTTTTCCAATGCTGCGACTAGAACAATGTATTTGTTCCCAACGAGAATTTTAATTCTCTCTTCCAAATTGATTCGACTATGAGAGACTAACTCTTACTAAAAAATGTACCTGGAGGTTACGGTCCTCTTCGCTTCCACAGGACGAGGTACAACCAGTATACTCGTGTCGATCGCCCTCGTTGACCGAGATTTAATACTTCGTCATAGATTTTCGTGTGTGGACGAGGTACGCGACCGTGCGTAGCCTCACGGTAAATTAAGTAACTAGAAATTTCAAAATTATTATTTCCCGGCGTGTCTGACCACGTATTCTGTTTCTCCTTCCGCTAAACGCGAACTCTCTCAGCTCGATGTAAATACATTTTCATCACGCTGTGACGAAAAATGAACTTTTCGGCACGCTCCGCGTGCCTAAAAGTCCAATTTCTGCCACATTGTGATGAAAAATCTTGTTCGTAACTCGTGAAAAAATGTTTTTTAGCTCGTGGGATTATATCACTCGCCTTCGGCTCGTGATATAAACCTCCCACTCGCCAAAAAGCACTTTTTTGCACTCGTTACGAAATATACTATTTCTTTACTTTTCAAGCATTTTTCAAGCCTTAATTCTCCGTAATAAAATATTCAAACAAAAAAAATATTTGCATGTGAGAGGATCCTCACAGTGATCAATGATTTTTTGGGTGAAAAAGATTGTCGCCTAGGAGCATTGTTTATTAATAATAGCGAAAAAAGTACTGAAAAATGAAATTTCTGTGCACGCAGCCCAAACGGGCAGCAACGTCCCAAGTACCGACCGGGTGGGGGTAGCGCGGTCAATTTAAACGTCTCTTGAGAGAGAGCGGTGAAGCGTTGTGATTGGAGCTCCCTCGAACCAGCTCCTGGTGAAAAAAAAACTACCCACGATGTTGCCACTTTTTCGCATAGAATAATATTTTTTCATTTAAAAAAAAAAAACAATCTGAAAACCATTCAATGCATGGAACAGATACAAATAAATTTGATTAGCTCCAAAAATAAGTTTTAACCGGAGATACTCCCTAATATTGCCTGAATTTTGAATCCGAATGGGAAAAATTTTTTTGTTCAGCGATTGGTTTTCTGCAGGAAAACAATAGAAACCCCTCTGCCTCACCTCCTACATTTCCTTCTCGCCCGATTATCCTTAATGGTTAAAAGTAAAAACCGACAGCGTTTCCCAAAATTTTTTTCACTTTTTTTTCAAAAAGTTGAGATAATTTTACATAAAATCCATGTGTAAAAAAACGGTCACCGTGGATTTAATGACAAAAAAATCAACATTAACACTCATTATTCACAGTGAAAATTGGAATTTAAAATTCCGCCAATATGAATTTTTTGAATTCAGAACATTTCAGATAGAAAATCGTATTACCTGTAGATATATTTTTTAATTCGGTCACATGAAAACTGTAAAAACTAAAAAATGAGAAAAACTCAAAAATACGTGTTTCTCTGTCGCTCACACAGCAAAAGGTCTGAAATTTTCACAGTTTACTCATTTCAGTGTGGTTAACAAAATATAAACGAAAATTCAAAATCGAAATTTGGAGTCCCAAAACCCATCACACTTTGTGTGGAACGTCTTATATACATAATGTAGTCAAAAAATAAACTGTCGAATGACTGAATGTACATTGTCCGTGAGATATATACACATGTTTGCCATGCTAGTACCCTAGTAGAAATTGGAGAGGCTCTGCGATATTGGCTGTTGCAGCGACATTCACGCACGGAGTCCGCTGCCGTACTCCGCGGCTAGGTCGCTGCTGGAACCCTATGCGACACTGACGCGGTGCGCTTCCATTTTTTCATTTTATCGATAATAATAATCATCAATTAGTTGCGAGAGATTCTTATTCGCTAACAAATCGTTAATCCTTCAATAATTTATTTGAATTAATACGCATAATCTGAAGATTGTGAATTCTTAATTGACGGGATTTGAGGTTAGGGCGGACACACATAGGTCCTTCCCGCATAAACCCCCCGCAGCCCTGTTTCAGCGATCCTGCTGCGTACCTTTCTGAGGTACATCGCCACAAACGGCAATGTCACACACTAACTTACGCCGCGATATTTCTGCGCAATGAAATTTCTACTAGGGTAGCAATATTTTATAGTGTCATGTGCTTGTTTGAGTATTAGTTCCATAGGATCATTGAAGATATCCAGATTCGAGTGACGTCGGGATAATAGATTTAGAGCAATGCACGTCTGGTGAATAGGTATAGGATAGAGTCCAATTATTTTTCACTTTAGGGAGATAAATAATTGTCTGCGAGCGAGCGTTGGATCGCGAAAATTTGAGCTTCAAATGACGAAGTAATTCAGAACAGTCTATCGTGCTATGAAACACTTTCACCGAAAACATTTTTATTTGACGTTGAGGCACAATTATACTTTGTGGTTCATTTTTCAATTCTGTTCTCTTTTTATCGCAAGTAGAATATAGACAAAGTTCATTCGATTAAGTTAATACTTGTTTGCAATTGTCCACAGGGGAAATTCAATACAGGGAGTGGGTGATTCTCCAGTTACACGTCACTGCTCACTCCATCATTCATGCCTTCCCTCTACTTTCTATGTAATAGAGTTAAAAAAAACTATGTGTTCATAGAGTGGGATCGTAAAATCTATCTGAATGGGTGGGCAAATATTTTCTGTACTAGAGTTTTCGCAGTGACAAAAACGATGGGGTCGCGTGCCGATGGGTCGCGTGTCGCTATCAACCGTCACGCTGGTGTGATTGTTCGTGTGGAGTACATGGTGGGTCACACGGGGAGGGACAATTGTGTACTTGTGAAGAAGGGGACAAGTGTTTAAGGTTTTGAGAATTTTTGAGTGTCTTGCAGATGTTTTCGTGCAATTTTTTTCTCACAATTTTTGAAGAAACTTTTTTTGGTTTTTTTAATTGAAATTATTTTCAAATCACTTACGGTTTCACGCGCGGGACTCCAACACTGAGGTGATGAGCTGTCCCTAGCACTTTGATTAATACTAATAGAATTAGTTACATCATTCCGAATGGATTGATCATCGTCCTCAGTTGTCTCAATATCCACTTCATCGTCTGAATCCTCGTCTTTATCGACATTGACGTCGGGCTGATCTGAAAGTGCTGCTTCGACGTTGGGCGACGGTCGTATTACTGGACGGAAAGCTGATTGATGAAGAGGAGCTGGGGTTACTGGTGGCAACAGAGGCTCAGTGGCACCAGTTCCGGTTAGGGGTGAAGGTAGAGGTCCTGTTTAATCAGACAATGACAGCACATTCAACTTTAAGTGAATTTGATTTCAAAGAATCGACCTGATTTCCATTTCATGGATATCAGGAGAACAAAAAACCGCGAAACATTGAGAATCATCAAGCCTCATGGCAAAGACAAGAAAATATCCGACAAAAGTTTAAACAATTCCAATTATTTATTTATAAACAACGAATGTTAAAAAACTAAGAATTCCATGAATCCGATCGAATTGAAGTGAAGACCATAAATTCATTTAACAGCGCTTCGAATGAATCCTTTTACCCATGAATCGAATTTTCAACTAACAACTGGCACAATCTCAAAAAACACTCTTCCCCTTACCTGGAAACAGCACAGGCCTCTTCAGCCACGGTAGAGCATACGGAGGAAAAGCGAACCCCGGAGTCTTGACAGCAGCGACAGCGGCAGCAGCCTGCTGATGCTGATGCCACACATAATCCATCACCAAACTCCTGGATAACGGCAGCGGTAGCTCCGGAAACGGTGGAACTCTAGGATGCACCGGATGAGCAGGAGGTGGAGGTATGGAGCTGGTGATAGCTGGAGGGATTGGTGTGCTTGGAGAAATCCTAGCTCTCTTGACGTTCGGCGAATCCCTCGAGTCGTGACTGGACAGCAGACGTTTTCTAGTTCCTCCATTGAACATCGCTTTGACGTCCTCCCAGGCATGAACCACCTCGTCTGGGGGAGTCCCAGACAGCTTCATGTGTCGTCTCCAGGAGTTAAAATTGGCGGCATCAGGCTGGACGTATTTGTCTCCTGGACCAGTCCGATGGGAATGGAAGATGAACTTGTTGGGTGAGAAGAAGAGTCCGCAGTACGCGCACTTGATGCACTTGGCCCGGGAGCTGTTGTATCTTGACGGAAGGAAGGCACCTCGGCATCCCCAGGCACACTCATGGTGCACCGAGAAGGCGAAGTCTTCTGGAAGCCTCGGAGGCGCGTTGTCACTGAGAAAGGACTTGCAGAGACGTTCCGCTTCTCTCCTCGTTATCATTCCACATCTTCGGGAGGAAGGGGGCATTGCACCAGCTCTTCTCAAGATCTCGAGCTGCACTGGAGTGCACTGCACGCAGGTTATCCCCAGGGCCACTCGGCGGTTGTGGATCTCGTTGTAGCTAAACTGCTTCAGCAGGGTGTTGCTTATTTGAGCTAGGCATAAACGCTCCTGGCCTTCGATCACCAGGGAGACTATGTGAATCCCGTAGAGAGCAACTGAACCAACCTGCAACTCCTAAAGGTTATAGTCGCACGATGACTGTTTGGATTTTTTGAGTTATTGGGACTTCAAAACTTTCATGACTTTCAGGACTTTCATGAAACTCCTCGCGCCGTCTCGTGTATAAGGTAGCGGGGGCAGTTTCTGATCAGGAGGTAGTTTTTAATCACTCGGCTATTTATTTATTAAGTGCGAAGTTTGAGTTGAATTGATCAAGAAGGTAAAACCAACAGTGCAAAGAAGAAAATCCCTGCTTTCGCTAGTGATCTCAATTGTGGCAGTGGTACCACTGTAAATTGTCAAAAATAAATGGTAAAAGCGCGCGAACGCGGGAAACGGCCATTTTCGCCGTTTGCCTGTGGAATGAGCTAAGTGTGTACCTGAAGCTTCAGCACTCAAATTTTACCATGTAAGTACCGAATGATCATAAATATGATATAAATCTCAAGTTAAATCATAGGAGAACAACTCAGAATGATAAAAAATAGATGACAAAATTATTTTCAATAATTACTGTGGTGATCAATAACTGTCGCCTGAATCTAACCTGTCGGTATTTATTGATCGGAGGATTCATGAGTTGTCAGCTCGGATTAATTGAAGCCAACTGACAGTTTTTTAAGAAAATGTCAGTTTAATAATCTGTGAATGTAAATATTCACCTTATCTTTCCCTCATGGTGGTAATTATCGTTGTTGTAACGATGAAAATAGTATCGAAAAATGGTGGGATGCCACGAGTTGATCATTTTTATTATTTATTACCCTTGAATTTGGTTTTTGCTGACCGCAGAGGCTAAAAACTACCTCTGATTATTTATTAATAATAAAAAAATAATTTAATGCTCAGTTAGAGATGAAACAAGTAGGAAATTAAGTCATTATTTTCCTCATCCCAATGATCAGAAACTGCCTCCACTCGTGATCAAAAACTACTTCATGCGACTAAATCGTGATCATAAACTACCGCCAAGGCGGAATTTTCTTAATATTAATTTTTTATTAATTATTTGATATTTGTAGCTCAAAAATGGATTTTTAATTGATGTTAAATGTCTGTTTTACACTTTAAAAGAAGTTTCACTCCGTTTTTATTTGCTGTTTTCTCATTTTTCACCTTAACCTGAGCCCGCCGAGCTTAACTGATCAGAAACTGCCTCCGTTACCTTATTTCTGATTTTTTCCGTTTACAGAATTCGGTTGTCTTGCGAATCCAGAGACACCTCAAACCCACACTCGGTTACGAAACTCATACCGGATCACTTCTATCTTTACTTTTGTACATATTTCTAACGTCTTTCAAATATACTGTGATTAGTTTATTAAATCGTATTTGTTAGTGAATTGAACGTTCCCACGTCACCTTCAATTCATACACGAAGACATTGCTGTTCTTGCATTTGCTTCAAATTATTCAATGAAAGAATGGATAATCATTATTAGTTTTCGTATAATTAATTATCTGCACCTTTTGAAGGCTATAATCACACTATGTCTGTTTGAATTTTCGAAATCATCCAAATCTGGACTTTAAAGAATTCAATTTCAATTGAGTATGCGTCATTCTAGAAAAAAATAGACAAATATTACATATTTATCGTCTTCATATTCTGCTTAAAATTACTCAACCCAAGAATGGATAATCATCATTAGTTTTAGAATCATCACTATATTTTTACAATCGTTTGTTCAATTTAAATGTTCAGACAACAATGAACAAGTAAATTCAATAAAACCTTCGTCCCTTTATCCCGAAAATGGAAAACTAAATTTTTCAACTACCAATTTCCATTAACGTGATAGATTTTCCACAATGGAGACTGTTGCTCTGAAAATGTTCAATGCGTGTGTTTTTTCTCTTCTCCCTTCTTTTTTACAAACATTCGTTATATTCACGAGTGTACAATCAAGTGAAAGAGTGAAAGAGGAATTGAAAAAAAGGAGGGATAATAAAAGCTGGAAAAAAAACCCGCCGAGGCAGATTACCTGATTCGGTTTAGCGTGCGGTTGCGACTGGGGGCTGGATTGTGCGGGTTTCTGGGCACCGAGGGGTGGCAGTGACAATACTGCGGCACCGTCCATCCTGTGATGACAAAAATAGATTAAAAAAGATGTTTTTTTTTCAGTTTTGTGTGTACATACAGTCGATTAATTTATTTTAGAGTTTCGGATTAATTTTTTTCGTCTACTCTGTCCAACCATAACTACTTTTTTAAATGTATTTTTGGGCTTTGGGAATTTTTTTGTAGTTACAATGTCGAATGATTGGTTTTCAATTAATTTATTTAGTTTAAATGGGAGTTTATTGGTGAGAACTTAAGGGGATACTAGTTGGCCTGTTGATCTGAAGGTTAGGGATTGAACGCCCGTCTCAATACAGCACATCTGAATATGAAACAACGACTAGAATGAACCCAATGATATATTGGGTTTGAATGAAAATTTCTCATTTAATGAGTAGAATTTCCTATGAGAAGAAGAAGGTTTTTAATAATTATTAAGTTGATTGTAATTAACATTGCAATGTGGTTTCTTGTGCAGTCTTCTCAACTATGAATAGTTCTACCAATGAATTTTTAAACTTTGCACATGTCTTGCAGTAAGTAAACACGTGGGTAAGGAAAGCGAATATTATCTACGGATAAAATAAGCTTTCAGAGAAGATATTTTGTAGGAAAAAAATCAGTAGATTGTGATTTTTATCGGTGTTTTCCAAACTGAATTGATTTCCAATTTTGAGAATCGTATCAAAGAAAAAAGTTCTTTTCACCAGTACCGACCGGTGCTTGGCGGAAGTTCACTTCTGGAAAGTTCGAAAAATATTTGTCCCAAGTACTTTTTGTATCCTTGAGTGAAGTACCACCTCTGCCAATTAAGTAGAAATAGTACTGGGAGGGAGTAACTGCACTACATTCTTCCAGTATTTTTGTACTTTTCACAAGTACCAAAGGTACTGGTGAAAAATCAATTTTTGAACTTCACTCAAGTACTTTTATGACTTAATTTCAGTACTTCCAATTGATTACTTCATTGAGAAGAGCGAACATTATCGACGGATAAAATGAGCTTTCTTGCGCATTTTTTTTAATAGAAGTGTTCAGAAAATATATTTTGTAGGAAAAAGTCTGTAGATTGTGATTTCTATGGGTGCTTTCCAAACCGAATTGATTTCCAATTTTGACAATCGTAATTCACGTTATTCTGACCGTAATTTACGATTTGAAAAGCGTAATTCACCCGTTTGAGACAATTGTAAATTACGTTTTTGAAAAAGTGAATTACCATTTCAAAAACATATTTTGCCTTCAGATTTTTCAGTGTGTTCGCTTGTGCTTCAACATTTGGATCTTCATTAGTAATCTTGAATGGATTCCTAAAAAAAAATTATGAATACTGGATTTGAGTACTACTGCTACTGATATTGAGTTCTGTTGGTACTTTTGAAAAGAACCAGCCAGGTACTCAGTGCAAGTACTTTTTTTACTTGTCCCGAGTAATAAAAGTACTTGTGACAAGTACCGAGGTACTTTTCACCAGTACCCAGGCACCCAGTTCTTTTGTGACTTCGAGGAAGTACAAAATTTGCCTTTTCCCCAGAAACCCTTTGGTACTGGGTAGAAGTACTTTTTCTACTGGGGGCCTATTCCTGAAATATTTCCGTGCACGGAAGTGGCTTCGTAGACGAATTGCGTATAGGTATTATATAGGCGTTCCATCAACGGAGTCGATTCCGCGCACGGAAATATTTCGAGAATAGGCCCCCTGATGAGAAGTAATTTTTTTTTGAGTGTAAAACGCAACCAAAGATTTCCACATTCATTGAGACCGAGAATATCTCTCCGAAGTGCAGTCTCTCGCGGCATCACTAACCACGATTCATTAATAGTTAACGAATACCACGATTCATTAACTATTCATGAATCGTGGTAATAGTTAAGAAGCCTCGTTAATATCAACTAAATCCTTTTATCAGTGTAGCACAACATTTTTGTTAAGATGCTGGTTCTAAATTATAATTAACTTCCTCCTTTCGGGTCAGGTTAAGTCAAGTTAATAAATATCTTTCCAAATTCTCAACTGAATTGAATTCCTCCAACAGTTTAAAAAACTAAAGAACCCTCAAGACATAAACGAGAGAAACAACGATTAATTTAACGCCCAGTGAAGGCGTCCATTGAGATTGTAAAATTTCCAGAAGGACAGGTGGATGAGGAGGATGGAAGGAGAATACCCTTGGTGTTGATTTTAATTGAAAACGCCTTCATGAGGGCAGACAGCTCGGGTTACCGTGCGCTCTAGATGGCGCCTCTCCACCCTCTTTGCCTCATTCCATTGGTCCCTCATTTCCCTCAAACCCAGAAGGAATTTTCCTTTCTCTGTGTGCCTCCGGTAAACGTGTAAATGTGAGTGTGAGCACGCGCACAACTTGGCAAAAGCGTCCCGGGAGGCCGGTTCAACGGAGAACAGGAGGGTAATTCAATTTGACACTCCCACCCATCGCTTAAACAAGCCACCCTATCCCTCTCTATGTGCACAATAATTCTCTGTCTCTGTTGCACACGGGGCTCTCTACGGTGCCTCAACGTACAAATTAAATTCTCATCCACCGTGAAACAATGCGGCATGACGAGAGAAAGAGAGAGAGAGAGAGAGAGAGAGAGAGAGAGAGAGAGAGAGAGAGAGA